CTTAATTTTAAAGAATTATTTATTTTTGAAATATTATTTGGAGTGCATTTTTCTTTGGGGCGGTTTTACAAGTTTTCCAGATATTTTATATAGTTTTAATTGGGGAAACAAGGGGATTTGTATATATTATTATTATTATTTAATGTTACATTTAAATAATTTAAATAAAAATAATTTTTAATTTATTTAAAAAATTTCCAATAGCGGTATGAAATAAATTAAAAATTATTTTTATTAAATATAATTTAAATGTAACATTGAATTGCAAAAACTGCTTTTTGACAGATAGCTTCTTATGGCAATTTGTCAATTAACATTCACAACTGGTCAATTTATTTATACATGGCAAACAACGACCAAACAACAATAAGAAATTGGGTTCTTTATTTGGATAGTGCTTATCTAAAAGGAACCAAAAACTTGTTCGTAGCTTAACAAACTTATTTGTATATACCTAACTCATTTTTAATGCTGCTTAAAAACTTAATTATAATTTGAAAGTCCTCTCAATAGTTTAAAAGAAGTTTTCTAAATAATGATAAACTTTTTGAGCATTTTTAAAAATGAGTTATTTTACAAAAAATTTTGTTAAGTCCAAAAATAGTTTTTGGCGCTTATACAAAACATTTTTTGAAATTTTGGCCTTAATATAAAGTTTTTGAAAACAAAAGTACCTATGTCTTATAAATCAAATACCATAAAGCCCACAAAACTCAAGTTTGCATTTTTGTTTATCTGTAAAGGCCAGGAAACCGGGAGTTTTTGCAATTTTCCCAACATTTATTAAAATGGATATAGCCGGTTTTCCACGGATGCTCCTCAACTATGGTCTAGGTCTTTTAAATCAAATTTGCATATAATTATAAATTTAGACAATATTTTTAAATAATGACTTATAATTCATTTAATAATATAATAGTTTTTATTAAAATAATTATCACACTATTTTTAAATACACTGCCCGACAAAATTATTGCATAATAAATAAAAAAATTAACTCTAAAACGCCTTTACTAATCTTTATGAAATTTTGGATAAAAATACTTCAACTTATATCTCAATTTACTTGAATACTCGAGGGTTTTTCGAGAAAATATGTTTAAAGCCTTTTTATTTAATAATGAAAATAAGTTCGAAAAATAACTTTTAGGGATTTTTTTTTAAATAAATAAAAAATATGCTGTTAAAGAGCGTATTTTTTTAGTATACCCTGAAAATTTTGTACAAATCAAGCGAACAGTAACGAAGATACAGCGCTTCAAAGTCGTGAAAAATGACCACTTTTCAGCAAAATAATCAAAAAGGCGTCATTTTTACCGACTTTGAAGCGCTGTATCTTCGTTAATGTTCGTTTGATTTGTACAAAATTTCAAAATACGCTCTTTAACAGCATATTTTTTATTTATTTAAAAAAATTCCCTAAAAGTTATATTTCGAATTTTTTTCATTATTAAATAAAAAGGCTTTAAACATATTTTCTCTAAAAACCCTCTAACACGTAAATTGAGATATAAGTTGAAGAATTTTTATAAGGATTGGTAAAGGCGTTTTAGAGTTAATTTTTTTATATTTATTATGCGATAATTTTGTCGGGCAGTGTATTAAAGTATACGTCATTATTTAGATTTTTTTGAATTTTTGGTGTATATAAATCTAATAATTAAAAAAAAACTAGATGTCTTTATAATTCATGAAAAAAATATTCAGTCAGTTTCACTTGTTTTGATTCCCATTTAAGTTTTACACAAAATTACCTAACCTCAACAATAATTCTTATAATAATTATAATTATTGATAAATTTGTATATTTTTTATTAACATATGGAAATATATTTTTTAAAGGCTTAACTTTTAAACAAAAACGAATCGCATCCATGTCATTTAAGAAAAAATGTTTATAATTAACCCAGCTATAATCTGACAAAGTTTGCCATAGAGCTTGTAGAGCACCCTGTATAAGATATTTAAACCTATTCAAAATTATGATGTATAAACAAAATAAATGAAATGTTTATATAGGTACCTAAATTTAACAATACTTTTAAATTATTATAATATAAATAATTATAATTTAACGATAATTATTATTATAATAATTATAATTCAACAATATTAATAAATATATACCTACGTCATTATTTAAGAATATTGTTAAGTTTAAGTATCGTCTAGGTATTTTAAATCAAATTTGCCTATAATTATAAATTTAGACAATATTTTTAAATAATGACTTATAATTAATTTAATAATAATTATTATTATAATATTTTTAATTATAATTATTATAATTCAACAATATTATTAAATATTTAAGTATACCTACGTCATTATTTAAAAAAATAGGTTAAGTTTAGGTATAGTCTAGGTATTTTAAATGAAATTTGCCTATAATTATAAATTTAGACATTGAAATAAAAAAAACACTTATCTAACTTATAAAATAGATCTCACACACAAACAATTTAATTAAAAAAAACACTTCTTGACAGAGGCAACACCGCAGGGCTTCCGATACACCGCGGAGTGTGTCTCTTGTTGTTTATGCACCAACGAACAGTTAACCGCCCCGTCCCGCATTACCGGGCTTCGACTAGCCAGTGTTATGCACCGGGCTTCGTATTGATAGCCGTGCATGTATATATATATATATATATATGTATATATATATATATATATATATATATATATAAACTCACGTGCAAAATAATCGATCCACACAAATTTTCGATGAATTTCAATCGCAAATAACTTTTTTATTTGATAATGGATTTAAACGAATATTAAAGAATATTGTAGATAAATTAATGGACAATCGCTCACATTTTAAAAAATACTAAAAAATAGACGTACGTTTATAATATACAGGTTTAAACAAAAAGATGTTTTTTACCATAAGTTTAAGACACTCTGTAGAGTGGCAAAACCGTATATTGTTCTAAATTAAGTTTTATTTATCAAGTCACATCTATTCTTAACAGTTTTGTTTTTGGTTTACCTCGATATATTTATTTTTGTGGAAAATATGGATTTTTAAAAAAAACATTGCAATTTCCAATATTTTTCTGTATGAAGAACTAAGGTTGCTATGGTCCATCCATAGGCTATGGGGAATGACAGTGACAGTTTTGTTGAATCATCCTATACTTGGACATGTCATACACGGCTTTCAAAAGCTATCAAATTGTTTTTTGCAAATTAATGTTTAAATTTTGAGGTGTCTTCTTACTTTATAAAATGGATATGTCTCCGACTGATGTTGCCAGAGCCATTAATTTAATCCAAGATGGACGGTCACAGTATTACGTGGCAAGTGTTTTAAACGTCATAAGAAGTAAAGTATAAAGGGCAACATCAGTCGGAGACATTTTTAAAAGTAAGAAGACACCTCAAAATTAAAACATTAATTTACAAAAAACAATTTGATAGCTTTTGAAAGCTGTATATGACATGTCCAAGTATGGGATGATTCAATAAAACTGTCACTGTCATTCTTCATAGGCTATGGATGGACCATAGCAACCTTAGTTCTTCATACAGGAAAAATATTGGAAATTGCAATGTTTTTTTAAAAAATCCATATTTTTCACAAAAATAAATATATCGAGGTGAACCAAAAACAAAACTGTTAAGAATAGATGTGACTTGATAAATAAAACTTAATTTAGAACAATATACGGTTTTGCCACTCTACAAAGTGTCTTAAACTTATGGTAAAAAACATCTTTTTGTTTAAACCTGTATATTATAAACGTACGTCTATGTTTTAGTATTTTTTTTTAATGTGAGCGATTGTCCATTAATTTATCTACAATATACTTTAATATTCGTATAAATCCGATATCAAATATTAAAGTTATTTGCGATTAAAATTCATCGAAAATTTGTGTGGATCGATTATTTTGCACGTGAGTGTATATATATATATATATATATATATATATATATATACAGTGCTTGCAAATCCCAGTAAGCACCAAACACTCGGTAAACAGTCAGCCTTCGCTCGGCATAGGCGGTTGACCGGCGGTTCGGCTTGCCCTAGCCGGCCCGCTTACGGCTGGAATACGGCCTGCCGCGGCATAAGCAATACATCTCACGGCTGCTTACGCACGCGAGCTAACTATAAATAGCGATTGGATGCAATATTTAGGTGGAAGTGTGCGTCCGTAATGGCATAGCTGAACATTAATTGTTTGAAGTCCCCATCTCCATCCTCATCTGCTCAGTAACGAATAATGTCTAGCTAGTGAAGTGTACACGTGTTAAAAAAGTATCTTGCCATTCAGAGAATTTCAGGATTGAACTTATAGGATATACCTTTCCAGGACGTCTGTAGGCTTTTTTGAATGGCCAGGCGGTTGTGGCCGGCCCTCGGGCAACTATACGCAGCCGACACTCGGCCGAGTAAACATTCGGCCAGGCGGATATGCCCGACAGTTGGCCAGGCGGACATGCCCGTTCTATAAGCCGGAAGAAATACGTGTGTTTACAAGGAATTTCTTTATTTTTGGTTTGGCGTTTGGTGACAAGTGTCTTAATGACTGACTGCAGTTGTGACGGGTGGTGGTGAGACTGGGCGTGTGCCCTAGTTTGCCATTATTTTTCTGTTGTTGCAACGTGTCTCCTATTATAAAATTATTGATATTTAAAAAATGTAAATACTTACCTTTAAATATCACGTATTTGCCCTACCAATATGATAACATTTTTATTTTGTTTCTTTGTAATGCACTTAAATAATTGATAATAGCATGATCCTTTATTTTCCTTAATACAAAAATAATTATTATATTAACAAACATATTAAGTAAATAATTAAAACAAAAATAGATACCTATACACAGTGTATAGATATGTATTTTTGTTTAATAATAATGTATTTTTGTTTAATAATAATACACTGATTTTTTTTCTCAATACACATTTGCCTTTAATTTTAACTCAATAAAATCTATATGCATATCATTTTTATGACTTTTATGTAATACATCAAATAATGACTAGTTCTTTTCCTCCCTAACTCTTCGCTGTTTAGCATGCCTTAGCCATTCGGCAAAAGCAGTTTCATATTCCTTTCTGGTGCATTTCGTTTGCTGGTGAATTATTTCTAAAAACCAACTGATACTAAACCGTAGGTTTTAATTAATTTTAGTTAACTTACCAAATGCCTGATTGGTAATTTCCAAACTACTTATTGCATAATTATTTTTTCTCCCCAACCATGAGCAGCATTCTGCTAATGAATTTGTAAATACATTTTTACACAACCTGCTGACAAAATCTTTGTAAGTATTCCCTCCAATTGATTTAATAAATTTTTGCTAAAACAATTTTATTTAGAAAAAATTATGGATTTTAAAAAATTACTTACATATGACTTTAAAATGGATTTTTCCGTTTTTAACTGTTGTTCGAAACTTTCCAATTCAGTCAAATGTTTTAATGGAAATTTTAAGAAAGTTTTAATTTCCTGTTCTCTCTGAGGAAAGGCACTTTCCATCTTTTCCTTTATTTCAATGATATCCAACTTTATTTCTGCCAATAAATGAAATATTTGATCAATTTTGTTATTTGTTTTAGTGTTACAATTTGGTGTTCCTGTGTCTAAAACATAATTTAAACTATAGGTATATCTACTGAAAAAATATTGCTGCAATGTTTGCAGAGTTTACAAATAAAATGTTTTATTTGCTAGTTGCATTAACATAAATGAAATGTTACATTTAAAATGTTACACATGATAATTTCCCCCAACCTTAAATTTGGAACTTTTTGAAAGTTTTGCACTGGTAATATTTAATAATATAAAATGTTATATAATAGTACTTATATTATGTATCAAGTTTGATAAACGCCATTTTAGTCACGAATTTAAGTTAGGCACGAGTGAGCTCGCGAGCGAATTCTATACAAAAATAGAGTAAGCGTAAGAATAGGAAAATATTTAAAATGGTATAAAATCTGAACTATTTGGATTTTTTAAATAAAATTTTAAATTTGTCAATAAATTATAGTAGATTATAAATTGCACCACTTTAATTTGAATTATGTCAAATAGGGGGGCCAGGGGCGGGTGAGGGGATACGAAAAACTCACTTTTTTTCGCAAACTTCAATTTAAATTTTGTTTGCGTCAAACTTGTCTATTTAATGTCATTATAAACTATTATAAATTTGGTGTGGGCCCCATGTCTAATAACTAAGAAACGTTTAAATCCGATATAGAAGTAGTTTGTACAGTGAAACTAAATATAATGTTTTATGGGCACTCCACGGTGGAGTATCCACGCGAAATTTTTATACTTTATCTAGTTTACTGCCGGCCACACTCTTATATAAGAAAAAACGTACATACACACTTTTTAAATATTGGCGTTGAGAAACTATTAAATACTTTTGTATTTGTGTACTAAGATAATACAATAATTTTCAAATTTAGTATTATTTCACAAAAAAGACACCTTAATTAGAATCGTTAAGGATTGTATGATATTTGACAACTGTAAATTAACTTAAATCTAATTTCAGCCCGTGACTAAAGCGCTATAAAGCCATAGCTTTTCAATGTGTATTTAAAAGATCACGTAGTGTCATGTACGAAAATTGTCGTTTTAAAGGTGCGAGTAGAACAAAGTATACGCTAAAGAAGCATCGCTATAGCTACTATAGTAGTAGTACTTGTGTTGTTGGGTGGTTTTCGAGAGGAAATCCTGGGATGAGTTTTTACCGGTTTCCCAATAAACAGTGAAAATCCGACTGAAAAAATAAATTGCTGACAGTCCCTGTAAATATAGGGGAGAGTAGGGTAATGAGGACCCCCTTAGAACTTAAGTTTTGCTCATATTTTGGTTATTTTTCCGAAATTATTAAAGTTTATGTTATTTTAACTTTAATAAGTTATTAACAAACACAAATCGTTGAAAAATTTATAACAGAAGGTACCTACACATTTTTAAAAAAATAAAAGAAGTCAAAAGGGCCTCATTATCCGCCGCGTCGGGAAATGAGGACCCAAAAGTAACCCTGCTCTTTATTTACAGAAATTGCATGTATATGCAGATTTTTTGCCTGCACCTGACCATTCTGCTTAAGTCCACTCAAGAGTCTTGAATTTTGAGTCAAGTCACATTACACATCTGTATCATAACGTTGGCCCTGCTAGATGCAGGAGCTTCCTCGTTCACATTTGACGCTGCATCTGCTACAGCTTATTTAGGCTTTTGTATAGTTTTAAGAGAAAAAGGAATTAAAGCTATTGCTGAAGTCTTCTTCACTCAAAATATTATTTTTTTTTACTTGGTGGCAATGAGGACCAGATGGACCCAAATTATGTTTAAAAACAAAATCTTTATAAAAATATCAAAAATATTACTAACGTTTTATAAATGATGATTTTGGTTAAAAGAATTACTAATTATTGATTTGCAAGCAAAATATGAAATAAAAATGTATACTTGAATCAATTTAACTGTTTTATAAGACCGAAGCGCCATATATAAGAGAAGTACAACTCTAACTATCGATAAAACAGACTTTAAATAATCTACAGAGACTAAAGACACCATTTTACAGATGGATCCACTGTTATCTTAAACATATCGCTAACAACAGCCATAATAAAACGGTGGACCTGATTACCAGGTAGGCCGGATTACCCAAGTCTCCACTAAACTGCACCTAGATGTATGTAGATACAATAAAATTTAAAATTTATTGAATAAATACACATTTTAGTAATGATTTCCGTGAAAATTGTACACATTTCAATTCAGTAAAAATCATAAAACAACGTTTAAATTCAGACAGCATTATGCATTATTAAAATCGTTCATTGAGAAGGGTATTATATTATGTATTATATATAATATTATGTTGCCATGATAGATATAATATATATAAATATTATTTTGTCGTTTACTATTTTTAAATGAAGTTGTCGGCGTTTTTTAGAGGACTCAAATTTTTTTTGTTATATTTCTTAAAAATGTCCAAACTTATATTATTAGGTAAAGTTATCATTAGTTAATTCTGCAGCAATAAATATACGTACCGAATTGGATTCTTTGGAAAAAACATGAAAATGCAACTGTTTAGTTCTTAAATTACATTTACAATTAAAAACACAATAATTCACCATTATAGTGTGTGTATTTTGGTGATATCCCAGTAAGCACAAGCTAGCCGGCCCGCATACGGCCCGAATACGTTTTGCCGAATCGGCCGCGTATTTCTTCCGGCGTGTAGCACGGGCATATCCGCCTGGCCAACTGTCAGGCATATCCGCCTGGCCGAGTGTCGGCTGTGTATAGTTGGCCGAGTGCCGGCCACAACCGCCTGGCCATTCAAAAAAAGCCTACAGACGTCCTGGAGAGGTATATTCTATAAGTTCAATCCTGAAATTCTCTGATTGGCAAGATACTCCAAACAATACTCCAAACAATTAATGTTCAGCTATTCCGTTACGGACGCACACTTCCAACTAAATATTGCAACCAATCGCTATTTATAGTTAGCTCGCGTGCGTAAGCAGCCGTGAGATGTATTGCTTATGACGCGGCAGGCCGTATTCCAGCCGAAAGCGGGCCAAGTAGGGCAAGCCGAAGGATTTTGCAGCGGCATGCCGTATTCTGGCCGACTTTGGTTAGAACATGGCTAAACGGTACCGGGGTATCATAACGCGGGCCGTAAGCGGGCCGGCTGGGGCAAGCCGAACCGCCAGTCAACCGCCTATGCTGAGCGAAGGCCGACTGTTTGCCGAGTGTTTGGTGCTTACTGGGATAAAATTTGGTGCTTACTGGATAAAATACACACACTATAGTGTGTGTTATAACGTAACTATATAAGCATTTAAGCGTTGAGTTTCTTAATCAACAATATAAGCCTTATATCATTGATTAAGAAACTCAACGCTTAAATGCTTATATATATTATGCTTATATTATAAGGAATAATAAATCGAAATCAAGTTTTTTAGTTTTTTACTTGCAACGCGAAACAAAAATAACGTGCGCGATTTAGCTGTGCAATTAAAACTTTGCGTAACGAATAATGGCTATCTATAGTCAAGTGTGTTAAACCTATAGGATATACCTATCCAGGACGTCTAAAGGCTTTTTCTGAATTGCCAGGCTGTTGTGGCCGGCACTCGGCCAACTATACACAGCCGACACTCGGCCGAGTAAACATAGCCGACATTCGGCCAGGCAGACATGCCCGGTCTACACGCCGGAACAAATAGGTATATGTGTCGGGCCGCACGCGGCCGATTCGGCAAAACGTATTCAGGCCGTATGCGGGCCGGCTAGCTTGTGCTTTTTGGGTGAGGGGTTGAAAATATAAAAATAAACCTGAGAAAACCGGGGCGAAAACTTTTCATTGGAAATTTGTATGTACAGTCAAGTGCATTGAATCAGTACCACCCTAAGGCTTATATTCGCTTGCAGCCATTGCGAGGTGGTGGGGTGAAAATGGGGTAGTTAAATTTTTTCTGACCTATACTTTTTATGGTTTTATTCAAGGCGTTTTGTAATATTAAACATTTCTGTGAAATCAGAATTTCAATTGAGTTTACCGTTTTCGAGATATTTACAAAAAATATACATTTTTATGACGTCACAAACCTCGCCATGTGACCAACATTCTAAGATTTCTATTGGTTGAAAATTACCCTGTTGTCAAGTTGTCTTGTTAATGATTTCATTCGGTTATGTCAGAAAATACCCGAAGAGGTTATGTACAAATACTGTCACTGTCAGTTGAGTGAAAGAAGAAGAAGAGGAGGTTAAAGAAAATTCTGAAATTAAAAGTTTTATTGATAGGTTTACACATTGAAACACCGTGTGAAATCTAATAAAATGTAATAAATAGGTACCTAATAACTGTCTAAAGCAGAGTTTAATATATTTCATAGAAAAAAGTGGCAAAATAAAGCTGAAAATGAATGAAATAAATTTACAAAAAATAACAGTAAATGTAAGTTAACAATGGTATTTATGATATTTGTGTATAGTTTTTATAAAACTTGCATCCCTGATGATGAGCATCAAAACCTTTTGTAAGATTAAAAAAATGTATGACAAACTTTTGGACTGTTTGAAGATATTATGCTCTAGAGTACATTTTTGTACTTTTCGACAATTCTGGTTTAAATATTGCTGCAATAACGTACATAGTAGGTAAAGATAGTGAAGGGTCTACAAATAGACATTTTGATTAAAATTATTCAAACAGATGGTCACCAAATTCATTAAGTACCTATCTTCCTTATTACGAGGTACCTATCATATTACTGTTTGATATTTTAGAGTCCAAGATATATCTAAAAGAATATAAAGAACTAGGCATTATACGACAAAATATGATTATAATTATATGTACTTACTTTATTTGTTTAAAAGCTACAATGTTCAATGTAACCAACCATTCCACAAGATTCCTCTGCTTTGGAGTCCGTTATTAATAAATCACTTATCTAATATCAATTACAAATAACATAACAATAACATTGATTTTCAATAATCTAAATCTAAAAAAGAAACGTCAAAAAATCAATTCTTCTTCTTCTTCTTAACTAAAATTTTAGATCAAGTAGTTTTAAAACTAAAATA